GCTTTACATCAGAGGAATCATCATAAATATAAGTCATCGATATGCATTGTGACTATTCAGTGCCATTTGGTACACATTTATACAATAATAAAGAGAGCTTTGCTCAAAATTATCAAATGATAAGGCAAATGTTAAGCTTATTAGCATCATGATAAGGTCAATGTTAGAGTTATCCAGAGTTATCACGCTCATTACGATTTTCAGGGCTATTGTGTAGCCCTGTTTTTTTTAGTTCAAATTTGTAGCTGAAACATATTTAACGAAAGTATTTGTACAACCCTAAGCCATATGAGAAACTTTCAAATATTTTCACCTGTATGCTACCATTTGTTTGTATTGTACATGTACAATTATAAATTATGAGATTGTGTTTATAAATGATTATGTATATAAAACATAGTCCAATGTTAAAGTTTAAAGAATATTGTCAGATAATTCGCAATTACAAGCTTTAGCACATAAGTATTTATAAGTAGAAAGCCGATATGCTTGGAATACAAAGGCAAATGGCAACGCATGTGACATATATTTGCATATTTTTGTAGATACACATGCAAATATATTATTAAAGCCAGTTAAATTGTAGACAGGGCCCTTTGAACTACCTATAAGATTTATGTACATACCTTTTCGTTGTTTGATGCATAATCCTTTTTTGTGATAGATTTTCATAAAGCTAGGCGCACACACGACGATTTTAGTCGGCTGATTCCTGTCTAGATTGTCTAGATGGATGTTTTCATCAAAATGTGGCGACTGGCACTCTATACTTGGTCATAATCACTGAGCTATAATTTTATAGGTCAGTGGTCATAATATTAGACCAAGTAGACTCGCGTGCACGCGCGAGGCGCGAGCGCCGCGAGAAGGAAAAAATGTCTGGGCAAGGGCTTCCTATATGTCTAAACCTGAATAGACCAACTACCGTAAAATCGTTGTGTGTGCGCCCGGCTTAAAGCAGGGACTTTTGCCTGGTCCGTTAACATACCTGTTGATATCACGTGCGCGGATTGCGAGAAACGGAAGAAATATTGGTCACAAATAAAACTAATGTAATTCCGAGGCCAGTTTTGGCCAGTAATTCTGAGGTCACAACTAATATCTGAAGTTTGTGCTTAATATTACCTTCCAACGCGGATTTTAGCCTTGTAATTTGTAATAAAAAGATCGGTAATTTGTGCTTCATACAGATACCTTTCATACAGAGTTTAGCCTTATTCTAGACAAACAGTGCCGGCGAGCGTTAGGTGATTTCAGCACCTCTCTGGTTGCTTTACCGGTAGCTAATGTCAATTGGGGCCATGCTCTGTTCAGCCACCTGTTACCTCTACTTTTTGGTAATAATGTGATTAAATTCAAAAAATTCAAATTCAATACATCCTCATTTTTGTTTTAGTTCTGCAGAAGATAAGACAACCGGGATTGTCTCACTGCTTTAAAACGAGGCAATGAATGTTATTCTTGTGTGCTTACAACAGGTAAACTTTTCCATCATAATATATCATCTGGTATTAAGTTTCGATTGAAGTACAACTTTCTTGATTTTCTAGAAATTGGAATGGGAGGTGTTGTATGTTGTTCTGAGAAACTTTCCAGAGGCACTGCAAGATAAAAACTTGATACATTCTTGAAAGCACTACTTACGTTTAATATGTACAGTGTTATCTAAAATGGTAAGGGAAGTAAAGTTGTGCACTTTTCACACCAAAATCATGAACTAAAAATTTTACTTTGCATTCAGGTTTGAAATTATGATTTTCTTCCTGGATTATTTCGTGTTCCTCATGATATGCGCCGACCTCATTTGTACGCTAGAATTTTTCCAGTACGGTTCTTATCCTTCAGTTTTTTGCATCTATCATAATATCTTACCATAACTATACCAAAACCATACTATACCATAACCATACCACAACATATCATATAATCATATCGTATAATCATATCATACCATAACTAACCATAACCAAATCATACCATACGATAACCATATAATTCCAAAATTATATCACACCATACCATACCATGACCAAATCATACCATACGATAACCATATCATACCATAATTATATCACACCATACCATACCATAACGAATTTATACCATAAGTGTATCATACCATACTAATAATTTAATTGGATATTTTATTGTAACATGTGAAGGTATTAACAGAGCTGTGTACGTACCACATTTTCATTGGTCAAGATGAACAAGTAAGAACCTGCTTGACTTTATTTTCAGCCGTTGTCTGTTCTCGCTTAAACGTTGTTGTATATTTCGTCTAGTTTTGTCTGATGCGTACTTTGCAGATTAGTTTGGTTGCTCATTCCGCGACGTTATGCGTATCCTGTCTCACCATATGTATGTTAGAAATGCCTTGCCAGTTATGGCAAGGTAAGGCTACTTAAGATAGTCTGGAATTTGAGACTTTTTTATGTCCATTAGCACTTTGTAAAGAATGAAGTTGATTTAAGTAATTGCAGCGTTTTATAAGTTTATTGCTTTGGAGATATTTGAAATCGTGCCTTGATAATGCACTCAGTGAATTTACAGAAATGTATTTCAACAAACTCCAGCCTAAATGTAACGTCTCTTGTTATGCGAGATACTCCTTCACAAATACAAGGTTTTTTGAGCAATAATTTCTAAATTTTCGTTCCTTAGACTGCTCCCAACATATCTGGAAAAGTTTACTAAACTTTCGCCAACGCCTCAAGTTGTCATACCACTGTTAGAATTTCTCTCTGGTATGGTTCTTAAAGTTTCGTAAATTAAGAAATCTTTTGCGAAATATCAATGTACCCCCTAAAGAGAGGATTCTGATTGAGCAATTCTGCCGCTAACCATAGTTGATCGCCTTTTTGTACAATCAGCTGTGTTAAAAATCTCGTATTTCTGTTTACCAGATGATGGAGATTTGGATAAACAGGAAATCGCATACATAAAAGGTATATGTATAGCTTTCGGTTGCCAGTCATGATATCAGGATTGAAACCGCACATCAAAATGGGCCTCTTGTAAATATAATCAATAAAAATATACCTGGAACGTGTAGTAGGTGAAGCCACGAATGGAAATTGAGGAATACTAAAATGGTGGCTAGGAATATTTTTGTATACCTCTTCTCAGCTGTACGCAGTTCATTGAACAGCTAGTGATTTGCATCGGTTATCAAGCCAATCAGATTACGGCTAGTTCATTTATAATACCCAGCCTCCTCTTTTGACGTGATTTGCTAGCCTGATTTCGTATTATATATTGGGTCAATTTGTTTATTTTCCAGGCTTGGTCTTGAAGCTAGAGGAAGAATTGCATACTGTAACATCTTCATCCTCCAAATAATTACACATCCCGGCAGGTGCAGTATACAATTTATTTGAAAACATTGTTGAAACAAGCATTATATGACTGCAGCCTCGTTAGAAATGCCTTAACTTTTGCAGTCTTTTGTCTTTTTGTCACCCAGTTACATTTTCGAACTTCTGGTCAAAGTACGAAATCACTCGAGAAAGTGATTTCATTTTCCGTTGCAAGTGAGTTTATGAAGTGGTTTCCGAGCTTGTTTCAACATTTCATTTGTTAAATTTGGATGTGCAAAGAATTTTAGGCGATTATCGAGTTGGAGCAAGCTCTGCATGATTCAATATGCCAGTATTGCAGCAACCTATTGTTAAAACTGGGAAATGAAATGCATACATTATTTAAGCAAATCTTCTTCATGTAGATCAAATTGGTGGTGCAATACAAAGACAGTTCGCGGACGCCTTGAAAGTACGTATACAGTAGTCTTTGACATGATAGAAGACTTAGTGGTAGAAATTTGGGGAAAGGGCTCGTATGTTGATATTTTTTGACGTTTATTGCTGTAATAGCTTTCTTGTAGCTCCACTTATCTACATGTCTTCAAGCAGTCGTTAACCTGGTTTCCTTTGTGTCGTAATTGTTGTAAACAATCATTTTCGTAAACAATCATTTCACGGATAAAATCTAGTCCAATCTTTCCACATTATTGCATCCCAGGTAGTTTTTCAGAACAGCGATGCATTAGGGTCGAGCGAAAGGAAAGATGTGCAACAAGCTGGCACATTTACGGTGCAATCATCTCAACCTGTGTGTATTAAAGTAAACTCTGCATGGCAGGTAGTTAATGAAAAATGAGACAATTCATGTATTGCTGTAGCCAAATTAAGTTCTTGTGTTTTTAGGTTCATGTTCAACAGCAAGCGAATGACGGTTGGAAGAGGAAGCAACTGGATGTTTGGTCAACCAGCAAAGCAGCTGGTGGCGACAAAGGTGATCATTACGTCCACCATAACATTAAGCTACAAGATGATCTTTTGTATAGTCATTTTTTAATAACGGTGATTGATTTAGGAAACCTATAAGGGCTTACCAGTGGAACTTCAAAATCTACATGTCATTAAGAAACATCAGATGTTTGTTGGAATCCTCAAAAGTTCTAATCTTCGTACAAAAACAGGTAGAAATTTTTTTAGTATACATTTTGAAAGGAGAGTCTCTAACCCCTCATCGTTTCTGGATTACTACTACTTTGAAGCGGTGTACATGCAATAATACCACTACACTATCAGTGGCAATTCTAAGGGCGTCCCCTTTTCCACAGGAACAACGTGAACTACTTGACAAAAATGGGGATTGCAATAGGTAAGTTAAAAAAATTAAATCGTAGGAAAATGTCTGGTTTCATATTACCTTTTAATATAAAATTTGTGTAGGTTCGTCCCGATGAATTGTTCGTCTCTTGTATAAATACAGCTAATGTGATTTTTATACAGATTAATCTTACTGGACCTTTTGATGGTGCTTCCTTAGATCGAAATTCTAAATCGGTTAGGGTTTTGTGTGTTGTTAAAACTGATATAGGAACGATATTCATATCCTAGTCCGTTACGTTAATTCACAATGATTATCCTTTGTTTTGTAAGAGTTTTGGTCTATGGAACCGACTTGAGACACAAAAAATATTTTTTGTGAGCCACGACGAAAAAACGAATTTACAGAGGTTAGTTCTATTGCCATCCAGCGAAATCTTAAGACTAGACTTTTTAACAAATGAATATATAGTTAAACAGTTTCATCTGTACGTTTTTACGAGGACGAAAAACGGATCATTTTGATCAGGAGGTTATGTTCAACTAAATAACTCGCAATGAACAAGCTGATTGAGGTTTTCAAAGGATTTATGGTCTGTTTTAGGCAATGGAAGGATTTTATGAAAACGTTTGCAACCCAGAGAACAAGGGTGCTGTTTCTTGTTGTTTGCTAAAGAAAGGTATGGTGTCTACTGTATTTTTTCGACGTATTAATACCAAAGTCTTTAAACACATACATTTAAGACGGCTTGTCAAGTTTAAAACCTTGTATAGTAATAAGCTTGTTGGCGAATCTGCTAAAAACCTGTCAGATTTGGTGGAAATAAGTAATAATTTCATGTCCAGTGTCCGCGAATATAATCCTTGATTCAAATCTTTTAGTATAAGCAATTAGGTCAGGGTTAGGGTGAGGTTTAGAATTAAAAGTTAGGAATAATTTCGTGCATCCTGGACATGAAACAAGCTATGGACATGAAACTATGATCGAAACATACAAGTCAAACACATCCTGATAACAGACCGTCAAAAAAATTGATACGAGCCTCGGATGTTTTACAAGAAACTCCTGTGTTTTTCACGTTTAGGTAAGCAAAACCGGGAAACGAAGATTTAACTGTTGAAATTGACGTTTTCTATTGTTTTATGTTTGAGACCGAACGTATGTGTGCCAGGATCAGGTGACCAGCTGTGCATTCACCCCCAGGTTCTTGAACAAGAAACAAACACGGCCAAGGCAAGTGTAAATGACTTCATTGACCGTTGGTAAGTAGGTTTGTAGCTCAAACTCTACATACCATGTACCCATTTTCTTACACGGTCGATACACTGAACAATTTACTATCTACTGTATAGGTGCACAGGTTGTATAACCACCCTCGCAATATTTTGCCCTTAAAATAAGGTAGTAATCCCCACAGTTCATGAAAGTTCTCTTGACTATTTTCAGAGGCATTTGTGCTGTACAAAGGTGTTATCATGCAAAGACGTGTCATTACTATAATTTGCTGCAACAAGGTACTACGACTAAGAGATGTTTATATTGGGCTATTCGGCCATTGCCATTGGCGTATACAGTATCGTCAGATATTGTTTGGTATTCACTATATTAAATATACACACTAAATTTAGGCTCAACTCAACATATATATGCATGAGCGATATACTTATGCTGATCGGATTCATATCTCTACAATTACGTGTAACTGCAGGAAATTTAATCGGAACTTATTTCATCCTACAGCGATATACCAGTGGAACTTCAAAATCCACATGTCATCAAGAAACATCAGATGTTTGTTTGAATCCTCAAAACAGTACCCGACTCCGCAGTTTTAAATTCTTCGTACGAAAACAAGTAGAAATTTTGTAATATATTTTGAAAGGAGAGTCTCTAACCCCTCTTCTTTTCTGGATTACCACTATTTTAAGCGTGTACATGCTATAATACCACTACACTATCAGTGGCAATTCTAAGGGCGTCCCCTTTTCCACAGGAACAACGTGAACTACTTGACAAGCCTGGGTATTGCAATGGGTAAGTTACAGAAAAATAAAATCGGAGAAAAATGTCTGGTTTCATATTATCTTTTATTATAAAATTTTTAATATCTTGAAGTTAATTCTTAAAGAAAATTGTACTACGAGGATGGTTGCTTTCGGATTTTGCGGGAGAATTTAGATAGTTCGATCCTGTGATTTCATGAGTCAAATTTCGCCAGTGTAATATAGTACAAATCAACATAGAAATTCGTATCGTCAATATCGTCAATTAAAGAAACAATAGGGTGAAATGTCAGTATTTTCAAACAGCTTTTGGAAATCAACAGGCAAGAAAACACGTGCTTTATATGTAATAATATAGTGCCTTTATCTATTTCACTTTTTAAGGGTCATAAGTAGCTTTCTTGTTTTTCAAAGCTTTTTTACGACAGTTGAAAAATTAGGTCACTATCCAGTGGATAACTTTATCCATGCACCTTTTGAACAACTGGCCCCAAGGCTGTAAACAGGATTTTTGCCAGGGGGGCACTGTGTGTGTTGAGGAACAGGTGCCCCCCATATAAGGCTTATGTCATCACTGATATAGTGCAAAATTACATGGTTTCTTCCAAAAATATATATAATACAGGTGCTCTATAATAGTGCTATTAGTTTTTATAAAGCTTTTGTAGATTTCAATGAATGTAGGTGACAAATGAAGAAATCCTATATTAGATGTCAACCATATTATAGTCCAAAAGGGTTGCTGGGGCAAACAAACCTCATGATCTGCTGCCAGCATTGTTTTATTTTTTTATTTGCGCTGATGCAAACGCCGTTCAGCAGCCTTCAAGAGTTTTACTAAACAGATTATTGCAATGGACATTTCTATAGGCATATCGTCGATGCCATTCTCTAAATTTTAAAATTCACAATGAAACATGTTGATATCCACATATTAACTCTAAGGGCCTAACTCTAAGGGCCTAACTCCACGGGCGCCTTTTCTCGGCGAAATGCGAAATATTTCGTCTGTTTCTTTTGAATTTTGACCGCTTGAATCAATTAATTATGCATCATTGCTCACAATTCAAAAGAAGCAGGAGAAATATTTCGCATTTCGCTTGAAAATTTAGCCCGTGGAATTAAGGCCGAAGAGAAAAGGGGTGGGTAAAGAAAAATTTGAAGGTACCCAAGGGTGGGTTAAGAAAAAATGGAATAGTGGTTGGGGTGGGTAAAATTTTTTTAGCATAGATAAAATTTATATTATTCTTAAAATACTGAGACTACATGAAATACTGTACAATAATACAATGTACTGTTTTAGGATACTGTCTGTCAGTCATTCAACATCAATGTTATAAACAAGAGCATCCTCAACTGAGGAAAAACTTGCACATTCCACTTGCTCAGCCACTTGTGCTTCATGCCTTTCTTGCACAATCCTTTTTTTCTTTTTTAGTTTTGTTCTGGTTTCTTTATCTCTCCTGGCCCGTCTTCTCTTTTCAGTCTTTCGAACATCAGCTGCATCAAACCTCTTCTCAAGTTGATGCATTACATGCTGAACATCATGCATGATCTTTTCAATTCCATTCATCATTTCCTCAATTTGGAAAATTGATTCACAAATAAATTTAATTTCATCACCAGCCCATGAATTTTCCTCCATATGTTCATTATAGAGTTCCTTTTTCCTTGACAACAGTTGATCTTTCAAGGACTTTAATGAACTTATAGTTCCATTAAAATGCTCAACCGCACGTTGGCTTTTGGAGACATCATCTACCTTAACATCTGAAGGGAAGTCATTGTATCTTTTCCAAAAATGGGAATTAACAATTGGGAATCAACAATTGGGAATTAACCCTTCCTGAAATCCACTTACTACATTGAGCCTTTCCTCGTTTAACACAAGTCGGCTTGGTCGTCGTTGGTGTTGTATTCATATTTATATCATTCGTGCCTCCAACGATGTCAATCGATGGCTTTTCAAGACTAGAAAGAGCTTTCTTGAATTTCAACAAATGACCAAGCCAACAATATCAAACATTTGTTGTTTCTCTTCAGCATCCATGGTCTTGATCAACTCCACATCGTCAAAGCCAGTGTCTTTAAAACGCTGCAGATATTCCTCAGTAAATTTCAATGAAGACATAAAATTTTCGAACGTTAAATTCTCAGCCATCTCGAATATTCACTAGATTCTCCTTCAAAACAACAACGTGCCATGTGATTTACAGGAATTCGAGGGACAACTGGGGATTAGACATGATATTCATTATAATTCCCATGAATTCCGATGATGTAAGATCGGGTCAATTTCAGTGCATGGTCAATTTCAGTGGTCAATAATATAATAAATCTCTTCTTGCCAACTTGCTATTATAATACTCAACATAAACGTGCTTCTCGACCAGTTAATACCAGTGTGTGTAATTTCCACGGCTTTCGATTTGGTGGAACATTGACAGGTATACTCGTCAATACCACTTTTTTGTGATATTGTATATAAGCAAACTCGGTGGGGTTGGTTAGGAAAAAACCTGAAAGATTGTTGGGTGGGTCAGGGAAAATTTATTGATGTTGAATGGGTGGGTAAAAATTTTTTTTGGACTTTGGGAGTTTCTCTTCGGTCCCACCCCCGGCCATTAATAATGACCGGTCCCTTAAGACAAACAATTTATGCATACAATTTCAAAAATTACTTACCCTTTCATGATATGAAGAGAACACAAATACATATCCACTACATTTTTAACATATTTCCCATTGCTGGAAGCCATCTTGTTCCAATCGCGTGTTCCAGTTCGAGTTGATAAACATAAAACAAATGATTCGCGCGGCCTTTGCTCTACAATGGAGATTACAAGAACATCATTTTCATACAATTGAAACTATGATTGTATATAAATCACAGAGGGTCTATACTGTAGTGTACTAGTGTACAGTATGTATTTTGTGATATCTATAACACAAGAATATACAGAAAAAAATACAGGTTGTTTTCTTTCATATACACATAACACCCTTGTAAGAAAGCTCCATTTTAATGAGATTTATCGAACTAGGATATGTGCGAATTTGTTAGTTTATCATATTCCACAACAATTTCAAAGATTTACTTGCCTTTTAAATTCTGATTTTCCTGTTGGACGGGATAGTGAAGCGAAAAACATTTGATGAGAATATTCGAAGTGTATACAGCAAACAACAGCTGAACATCACGTGTTTTATGTAGAACGAAGTTTGGCTGTGAATAGCCATTTATAAATCTTCAATCTCTTTACACCTAGGTTGAAAGAAAGCTCGATTTTAATAAGATTTATCGGACTAGGATATCATGGCCGTAAAACGCCATATTGCCACTGGATTTAAATTTACTATATTTGCGAATTTGTCAGTTTATCATATTCTACAACAGTTCCAAAGATTTACTTGCCTTTTCAATTCCGATTTTCGTGTTGGACGGGATAGTAAAGCGAATTGAAGAAATACGATCATACTGTCATACATTTGATGAGAATATTCGAAGTGTATAGAGCAAACAACAGCTGAAATCATGTGTTTTATGTAGAACGAAGTTTGGCTGTGAATAGCCATTTATAAATCTTCAATCCCGTTTACACCTAGGTTGAAAGAAAGCTCCATTTTAATGAGATTTAACTAGGATATCATGGCAGTAAAACGCCATATTGCCACTGGATTTAGATTTACTATATTTGCGAATTTGTCAGTTTATAATATTCTACAACAATTTCAAAGATTTACTTGCCTTTTAAATTCTGATTTTTCCTGTTGGACGGGATAGTGAAGCGAAGAAGTACGATCAAGTGTATAGAGCAAACAACAGCTGAACATCACGTGTTTTATGTAGAACGAAATTTGGCTGGGAATAGCCATTTATAAATCTTCAATCCCCTTTACACCTACGTTGAAAGAAAGCTCCATTTTAATAAGATTTATCGAACTAGGATATCATGGCCGTAAAACGCCATATTGCCACTGGATTTAAATTTACTATATTTGCGAATTTCGGTCAGTTTATCATATTCTACAACAGTTCCAAAGATTTACTTGCCTTTTCAATTCCGATTTTCCTTTTGGACGGGATAGTTGACCCATTCAAGAGAGATGTAAGAGTATTATTTAATTTTGACTTATCCGCCGTTTAAGCTAAACGGCATTGATACAACCGGGCCCGGGACTATAAGTAAATGTGTGGAGCTGTATTATTATTATAAATGCAGACTGTCTTAGAGCGTTTTGAGATCGTTTAGATTGTTGTACGAGAGTTGTTTCATGAAATTGTTGTAAATTGAAAATAGAAGTAAAACCAGCGTGTGCAGGTTAATTTACTGAAGGAAGCTTGCCAAGAATTTAGTGAAAATATTTGACAAACTTTAAACAGTTTTCATTATTGGCTGAATACCAACTGTATATTTACGGTCTACACAAAGGTCTCGGAGATGTCAATTTCAAAACAAAAAGTCAATTTCGTTTAAACTATGTACTTAAAGCACGGTTTTTACCCTGGGTGACACATTGGACGAGACGAGGCAGCTCGTCGTGAAGAGAAGCGTGGCGTCATAGAATTTCACGTCGTTGGGAACTGGCTGCGAGGACAGCTCTCTCAAAAGAATATTATGTGGTTGATTGGCTTGACAAAAAGTATTTTCATATCAACTAACGCGAATGCCAAAGAAATATGACGAGATTGGTTTTGATCAGTAAGTGAACCAGTAAATTTTAGCTGCAAACTATTGGCACGGTCAAAATGGATGCGCTGTGCTTTAAATTGCTGTGCATCAAATTGGACGCAGGCACCAATTTTAGCTGTCCCGTGCTAATAAATTGACTACATCATTCTATAAAGAGCTTCTTGCTAATTTAGATGTTTTGGTTGTTGAATGTATGCAAATATCATCGTAGAT